AGGCTGAAAAGTCAGTGATCGCAGCGGCGGCGGCTTCCTGGCGGAAACGCTTAATTACTTCCTGAGTTTTGGCTTCAGCTCATTATGAGCCGCTGACGGCGGCGGCTCTGCTGACGGGAGGAAATTGGGAAACTACTGATGTGCGACGTTAATAACAATAAATAATAAACACAAAGAGGTCATTTAATCTGCCATGTTTGTTCAATTACAGGAATAAAGTCAATATTGGCTCATAAACTCATCGCTTCAAACTTCCGGTTCCAGCAGGAAAGCTGCTTCCGGCTGATGAAGAAAGCCCGAGGTCTTCCTCAGAGCTGATATGATTTTATGATCAAATGATCAGGGAAAACATGAACTCATATAGAAAGTAGCAGTAAAACATCCCGTGTCAATATATCGTGCTATTTAGTAACAAAACCACGATAATAAACATGGATGAATAAAAACACAAAAACTAGTTCAGCAAATTTAGAATGCAGTGAATATTCAGTAAAAATGAACAAAAAATGGAGACTATATTTATTAACACACACAATGAATAAATATATAAAATAAGCAAAACTAAATAGTTTATCAGCAGGAAAAGTTTATTCTTCTGTTTTGGGACGTTTAGTAGAGAAAATGGTGGAAATTTAAATGAAGAATAAAAAGAATTGATTTAAATGTCTCTGTTGGTAAAATGGTTTCAAGGAGTTTTGAAATGCAGATTTAAAAACCAAAAGCAAAAAACTGTTGTGGGTAAAAATCATAGAATCTCTGACTTTCTAACAAATGAAAACGACTTCCTGCCCCGTGATGCTGCGGGCTCAAACTGTGACATCATCTGTAATGTTCCTGTCAATCCCAACAGGAAGTATCCACACCTGAGACCCGTTGAAGGACCTGGAACCAGATCTGAGTTCATTAGTTCCTGAAAGTCCTCAGAAACCAGAAACACACAGGATTAAATCAGAGGAACTTTGACCTTTCAAACACATTCGGGGTCAAAATCATTTCAGCGTTTTTATGAAATATCAGCATTCAGAAATGTGAACTTAATTAATGAAGAGGATCAATTAAATGCTTCTTTTTCTTCCCTATAAGAACTGAATGTCTTCATATGGAAATGAGGGGGCGGGGCTTCCAGGTTCAAATCTTGGGATTTTCTGTAATAACCTCAATATGAGGGAATCTGATTGTTCACAGCTGCTGAACCAAATGATCAATAATAAACTCTGACTCCACAGTTTAATTAATCTGAGTTCGACTTTCTGAATTAATTTCCTGCTGAGCTTTAGGATGACGAGGGCAGTGTGGAGGTCAGAAAACTGGGAATAAAAACCTGGAGATGGAAGCAGATCACAGATTATTTTATTTAGAGATCATGCAGAATTGAAGCAACACAAAGAACAGAAAGATCCAACATGGCGGCTCCGAGTTCAGATCCAACATGGCGGCTCCGAGTTCAGATCCAACATGGCGGCTCCGAGTTCAGATCCAACATGGCGGCTCCGAGTTCAGATCCAACATGGCGGCTCCGAGTTCAGATCCAACATGGCGGCTCCGAGTTCAGATCCAACATGGCGGCAACAAAACCCTGGAAACCAAAGGAAATCTCTAAAAAGTGCAATCTTCATGTTGGTTATTGTTCTGGTGACTTCAGACAGGGACCTTCATTGTCATCGTTTGATTTCAAGCAACAACATAAATCCAGCAGTGGGTGGGGGAGGGGGTAGGAATCTCTTCCGCAGGAACAGAAGCAACAACATTAAAGTCCAGACATGATGCCAGTTGATCCTCAGTTCAATAAAATACTTAAATACTGATCAGAAAATAAATTAAAGCTGCAGCTCAACGGAAACGCTCGTCGTCATGGCGACTAAGCGCGGCGACTCGTTTGTGAAAACTCGTGGCGTTGAAAGGTCAGGCCTCTGCAGTTGAAAGGTCAGGCCTCTGCAGTTGAAAGGTCAGGCCTCTGCAGTTGAAAGGTCAGGCCTCTGCAGTTGAAAGGTCAGGCCTCTGCAGATGTCAGCAAATCATTGGATTAATAACAACAATGATGATGTGCAAAATGCATCTGTAGTGTGAAGCTGAATCAGAAACAGGAAGTAAAACTGAAACGAATTCAGGACAAAACAAACAGTGAAGGCAGAGCCGGCCCAAGGCATGAGCAAACACTGCGGCAGCAGTTTCTTTTAACAGTCAGGATGTAATGCAAGGGGCCCTGCGGTGGGCGTCGGGGGGCTTTGGGCCCCGGGGGCTTTGGCCGGGGGCTTTGGGCCCGGGGGCTTTGGGCCCCGGGGGCTTTGGGGCCGGCACTGCCAGCAGCTTCAGTTGGACCAACAGGAAGTTCCCGCCTTTCTTCTTCCTGTCGCATCGTGGAGGTGTTTCCCTTTTTGTTCTGAACAGAAACTAATGAAATCAGCGACTCTGAAGCACGGAGCCAAATATACACCAAACATTTACACATTTACAAACCGACTGGGGGATGATTTGACTAGGACAAACATCAGAGAGGACGGTCAGTCCTACTGAACCAAACGGGTCGGTTCTGCTGAAGAGCAGCTAAAACAAACCCAGTGCTGATCTGAGGGCCGTCCTGCCTCAGTTACTGAAAACGTCTGGAAAAGGAAAGTGGGAAACAGGAAGCAGGAAGTGGGTGACCTGGACGTCTCTGGGCTACAGCCGTTCTGCTCCGGAGACGTAGAGGGGGATCGACGGGGACCGATGGGCTACATGGCCAGCAGACCGTCTTCCTGTCTCCCCGTCTTCTTCCTGCTGGGCGTTGCCTGCGCCGCGCCACTGGGGGGCGACGGCGGGCCGGTCTCGGCGGCCTTGGCCCGCTCCTCCAGGAACTTATCGAACTCTGGAAGGAGGAGAGCAGGGATGAAGCTAAACGATGCTAACTAACTCAGAAACAGAATGAAAGCACCTCTCTTACCTTCGCTGGTCACGCCTTCCTCTCCTTCGTCTCCTTTCTGTTGGACAGAAAAACCAGAGAAACGTCACAACTGGACAGCAACGTCTGAAAAGTGTGGAGTGCATTTGGATTTAAGCCAAGTAACTGATTTAGTGCAACCACAGCTGGTTGCAATAAATCTATGAATGACACTTTAATAGATTAAAATAAACTTAATAATTTAATCTCTGATAATTAATATGTTTCCAAGAACAGTTTTGTTGTTTGACTTTATTTATCCAGGATTGTTTGGTTTTATTTTATTTATTAGTTTTGCTCACTTTATTTATTTTTTATTTTATAAGTTCAAAATGATCTCAAAACAACAATATTATCATTTATTACAATAATCACTGGGACATTTTATCATCAGTCTTCAGAAGTCACAATTATAACAATAGAATCTCAGACTCCATGCATGGCGGTGGCAGCACCATGCTGTGGGAAGCCGGGTGGAGCTGACAGTGGAGGTTCAGCTTCCAGCAGGATGACCAGCTAGATTTTATCTGAGGCATTAGGTCTGAGCAGATTTATGGCCTAGTCAAAGTCCAGACCTGAGTCTAACTTTTTGTATTTTTTTTCCTGCAAAGAGATTAAATATTCTCTTGATGTGTAAAACGGGAAGAGAAACGTCACAGAAAATTCTTCCAGAAAGCTGGAACCCACAGTTGCTGAACATAAATGCACACCACACTTTTCAGATTTCCTTACAAAACTCCATTTATTTCCAGCTGATAATCAACTTTGACACATAAAACAAGTTAAATACTTGAAGTTTATGGTTGGAAATCAGATCAATGTTTGCAAAAGAAAATGTTGATTTTATGAATTTAATTCATCTGATGTGAAAAACATGTAAACCTGACAGAGTTGATATCTAATCCATCATGTTGATCGGTTTTTATTCGTGGATCATTTCCTTTACCGCGAGTTTATTGAGCAAAGAAACCAGGAAATTATTAATCCCACTTCAAGGCAATGAGACGTTTTATTTTCCAGCTGCAGAGAAACTCATCAGAAGAAAAAGCAAAGAAAAGGATGAGAACTAAAAGTTGTGATCCGTCTCACCACATCGGTGCTCAGCCACTCCTCTATGTCATCCATGACAGAGGACTGACGCTCCCGGCCCTGCAGGGGGCGCCGCCAAATGAAAAACACAAATAAACATCCAAAGAAACAGAAAACAAACTGAAACGTATTAAAACACGTCAGCATGAATGTTTGAGGAAAATGATGAACAGAAAAAGATGAAAAATAATCTGAAGATGGAGATTAGATCATCTGGACCGGACCTGCTAATCCACCTGCTGCCCACTTCTCCTCAAATAATAGTTTAGTAATTATTATGCATAAAAGTTACTTTTTATTTCCTGGTATGTGTGTTTCCAATAAACAGACCCAAACGGGTCAGAACGAGAACTAAACAGTGACCAGGAAAACATCTGGACAAACTAATTAATCTGACAAAAAAAAACCAAAACATTCTGCAGGTTCTTTCATTTAAGATTATTTTACACATGATTAGAACAAATGAATGTTTTAAAAATAAACATTTTATTAATAGCGTTTCTCTAGAGAACATCTGATCATCTGCAGCTTCATACGTCTGGGGATTATTATTGATTAACCGGTTAATAATTGAACAGAAAACAGTGATCAATGTGAACCAGGTGTGGCCAACAAACTTACACTAAATATTTGTTTGAACTTCAATTCATTTCTGCTCTGCTGTCTTTCACAAAGAGAGTCTGTGGACTTTAATTCATTCATCAGTTACTAAGTTAGTTGATTACCTCAAAAATCGATTAACAATTTCAGAAGTTTCTCAGGTTATCCTCCAATTGAAAGGATAAGATGCTTTATTGGGGATAAAGCATCTTATCCTTTCAATTGGAGGATAACCTGAGACATTTAAAGGATCAGGAAGTGACATCACAACTCACCGCGCCTGCAGCGGCTGGCTGCTGGACATCCAGTGTGGGTGGAGGGCCGTCCGCTGCAGACAACCTGAGAGCAAAACACTGCAGTTAGACTTCAGCAGATTCCAGCTCCGGAGGGAGAACACTGGAGCTCCGGAGGGAGAACACTGGAGCTCCGGAGGGAGAACACTGGAGCTCCGGAGGGAGAACACTGGAGCTCCGGAGGGGGAACACTGGAGCTCCTGAGGGGGAACACTGGAGCTCCGGAGGGAGAACACTGGAGCTCCGGAGGGAGAACACTGGAGCTCCGGAGGGGGAACACTGGAGCTCCGGAGGGGGAACACTGGAGCTCCGGAGGGAGAACACTGGAGCTCCGGAGGGAGAACACTGGAGCTCCGGAGGGAGAACACTGGAGCTCCGGAGGGAGAACACTGGAGCTCCGGAGGGAGAACACTGGAGCTCCGGAGGGGGAACACTGGAGCTCCGGAGGGGGAACACTGGAGCTCCGGAGGGAGAACACTGGAGCTCCGGAGGGAGAACACTGGAGCTCCGGAGGGAGAACACTGGAGCTCCGGAGGGGGAACACTGGAGCTCCGGAGGGGGAAACTGGAGCTCCTGAGGGGGAACACTGGAGCTCCGGAGGGAGAAACTGGAGCTCCGGAGGGGGAACACTGGAGTTCCGGAAGGAGAGCACTGGAGCTCCGGAGGGAGAACACTGGAGCTCCGGAGGGAGAACACTGGAGCTCCGGAGGGAGAACACTGGAGCTCCGGAGGGAGAACACTGGAGCTCCGGAGGGAGAACACTGGAGCTCCGGAGGGAGAACACTGGAGCTCCGGAGGGGGAACACTGGAGCTCCGGAGGGGGAACACTGGAGCTCCGGAGGGAGAACACTGGAGCTCCGGAGGGAGAACACTGGAGCTCCTGAGGGAGAACACTGGAGCTCCGGAGGGGGAACACTGGAGCTCCGGAGGGGGAACACTGGAGCTCCTGAGGGGGAACACTGGAGCTCCGGAGGGAGAACACTGGAGCTCCGGAGGGGGAACACTGGAGCTCCGGAAGGAGAGCACTGGAGCTCCTGAGGGAGAACACTGGAGCTCCGGAGGGGAGAACACTGGAGCTCCGGAGGGAGAACACTGGAGCTCCGGAGGGAGAACACTGGAGCTCCGGAGGGAGAACACTGGAGCTCCGGAGGGAGAACACTGGAGCTCCGGAGGGGAACACTGGAGCTCCGGAGGGAGAACACTGGAGCTCCGGAGGGAGAACACTGGAGCTCCGGAGGGGGAACACTGGAGCTCCGGAGGGGGAACACTGGAGCTCCTGAGGGGAACACTGGAGCTCCGGAGGGAGAACACTGGAGCTCCGGAGGGGGAAACTGGAGCTCCGGAAGGAGAGCACTGGAGCTCCTGAGGGGAAACACTGGAGCTCCGGAGGGAGAAACTGGAGCTCCGGAGGGAGAACACTGGAGCTCCGGAGGGAGAAACTGGAGCTCCGGAGGGAGAACACTGGAGCTCCGGAGGAGAACACTGGAGCTCCGGAGGGAGAACACTGGAGCTCCGGAGGGAGAACACTGGAGCTCCGGAGGGAGAACACTGGAGCTCCGGAGGGAGAACACTGGAGCTCCGGAGGGGGAACACTGGAGCTCCGGAGGGAGAACACTGGAGCTCCGGAGGGGGAACACTGGAGCTCCGGAGGGAGAACACTGGAGCTCCGGAGGGAGAACACTGGAGCTCCGGAGGGGAACCATGACAGGGTTCTTACGTTCTGTGTGGTTCTGCCAGCGTGCCGCTCCGAGTCTGAGCGAACACATCAAAGTCGTCCTGCGCTGCCGCCGGCTTGCAGCTGCTGAGCGAGCTCAGCGTGCTACTGACACTGTCGGCACCCACGTCTGCAGGAGATGCAGAAATAAAAAGCAAGAGTCAGGCATATCGCAGACAGTATCTGCTGCACAACATTAAAGCAAAAATCATCTTTAAATCCCTGAAATCCGTCATCAGGAAGGACTTAGCTTATTTTTATTCATTTACAATTTATTACCAATTAATAAATCTCTGACCATATTTGGAATCTTTTCAGTGTGCATGAATGAATGAAAGTCCGGCATGAATTACATCTGCAGCACTGCTGCCTCCTAGTGGTCAAACCTGGGAGCTACAGCAGCAGCTGCCTCATGTTTCAAGCTTATTGTCAGAGATGAGATTCTTTCAGGGACCAGTGTTTGATATGATTGCACAAAAAACTAAGCAAACTAAAATCAATTTGTGATTCTATTCAGAATTCCAGCACCAGGATTGTGATTCTCTACAGAACTGATTTTGTCTGAACCTCCAGTTACTGTGAACATGTAAAGATATGAGCAGATTACTGCATGTGGAACTGCAGAAACGAGGTGGAAATGGACCTAAACCGGCCAGGCGGGAGGCCAGGGAGGCTGGGGACGAGGGCCTCCCTGCAGCGATGCTCAGGGTGGGGGGCAGGCTGGACGGAGCGGCGCTGGGCATGTTGCTGACCACCGCTGGCGAGCCGGGTCCAAGGTCAATCAGATTGTCCTCTGTGGCCTCACTGAGCACCTGATCAATAAACAATAATAAATACTTAAAGCTCAGGAGAAACTGGAACACTTTGCAATACTTTAATCATCAGAACATAAAGTCCAGTGTGATGCACAGCGGTGAACAGCTCAGTGGTTAGCGTAGGGAAACATGAGAACAGGAAGTAGCTGCTTCTTAAGAGGGGTCAGACAGGAAAACACTGAGGGTCAGAAAAGGAGACATGAAGTGAAGAGAATCCCCTTAAGAAGGCAGGAATCAGCAGAGAAGACAACATGGCCATGCTACAGGCTTTTATTTTGGTGCCTAGATCTACTTCCTGTTTGAGGCCATGAGGGAAGGCGAAGGGAAGACATGCTGATGGCAGCAGCTCACAACTTGACGACAACAGGAAGCAGCTCGGAGGAAAAGCTGTAAAGGGTTAAACCACCGGAGGAAGTAGGTCCAAACGCTGAACTTCTCCAAACTAATCCTCCTTATTCCCTCATTCACAAACTAATTGAGCGCTCGCTCCTGATTGGCCGACGAACAAACAAGCGCTTGCTTGGACTCCTGTGCTTCTGCCACATCCAACGGCGCCCAGTGTGTTAGCATAAAGCTAACACACTGCTTCATCTTCCAGAGCTCTACCTCCAGCAGTCGCAGTGTGTCGAGTTTTATCAGTGGCTGGTTGCTTTGCACAGATTAAATCTGTTGACTGAAAGGTTTGAGAGCTGCTGCCATACGGGGTAAAATTACTGGAAGCTAAAGAAGCCGCCATCTTTTATTGCCTCCGATGTGGCGGCTGATTTAGAGAGGACAGTTTCCATACTTGCCTGTCTCAGCTAGCCACAGAAACACATGGACAGAGAGGAAGAGACAGTGGACAATGTTAGCATGCTAGCACAGAGACAATGAGGTGATGGTCAGTCTGGATGAAGATCCCCACCTGAAGCTGCATCGCTCTTAGCGCCACCATAACATATTTACTCACTCTTCTGCTAACCAACTGGGATTTTATAGACCAAACTAAATTGTGCGTTAGAGTTAATTTGAAGAAAATTTATACAAAGTAAAAGAAAAGCTTCATGTTCACCCTCCTTTTCTGTGGAGCCTCTAAAGAAAATCCACAGCCTGAACAAGTTGCCTAATTAGTCGACAGCAACCTGTGGGAGTAAATACAGAACCAGATAACAGGGCATGAAGCTGCTTAGAAACCTGGAGGGAGCTTTGACTAGACCGTTTCAGGTCTGCAATGGGGAACAGCAGCTTAGCTCCTGATCGCTACATTGCCTCCATAACCAGGATGCATTTACTTTGGATCCAGGCAGTGTGGCACCCCCTGCTGGGCACAACCTGGTCTCAGTATAAATCTACATGTATTAAAAAGTTTTAGAGGAGAAAGTGACTGTCGGTTCCAACATTGGTAATTTTGGGTATGTTCATCTGACTGATGGACCATCATTCACATCATGATGAAATGTGAAAACAAATAACGAGAGCAGCTAATCAGCCACAGGTGACTTCAAAGAAAAGATTCAATAAGCCAGGCGGAGACGATGAGCACGTCTGCAGCGACTCACCCCGTTGTTGACGCTTTGAGCCGAGGATCTGCCGGACCGAAATCGCTCATACCTGCAGCACAAGAAACAGACGGTGCATCAAGCTGGAAAACAACAGATTTCAAACTAACAAAGCCAGAAGTTCTGGGACTGACCCAAAACCAGGTTCAGAGCGAAACCTGCCAGAAACCAGTTGGTAACCAGCCTGAAACCAGTTGGGAACAAGCCTGAAACCAGTTGGAAAAAAGTTGGCAACTAGCCTGAAACCAGTTGGTAACTAGCCTGAAACCAGATGGTAACTAGCCTGAAACAAGTTGGTAACTAGCCTGAAACCAGTTGGAAACCAGTTGGTAACCAGCCTGAAACCAGTTGGTAACTTTCCTGAAACCAGTTGGTAACCAGCCTGAAACCAGTTGGTAACTAGCCTGAAACCAGTTGGAAACCAGTTGGCAACTAGCCTGAAACCAGTTGGGAACCAGTTGGTTGGTAACTAGCCTGACACCAGTTGGTAACCAGTTGGTAACCAGCCTGAAACCAGTTGGTAACCAGTTGGTAACCAGCCTGAAACCAGTTGGTAACCAGTTGGGAACCAGCCTGAAACCAGTTGGTAACCAGTTGGTAACTAGCCTGACACCAGTTGGTAACCAGCCTGAAACCAGTTGGTAACTAGCCTGAAACCAGTTGGTAACCAGCCTGAAACCAGTTGGTAACTAGCCTGAAACCAGTTGGGAACCAGCCTGAAAACAGTTGGTAAGTAGCCTGAAACCAGTTGGAAACCAGTTGGCAACTAGCCTGAAACCAGTTGAGAACCAGCCTGAAACCAGTTGGTAACCAGTTGGTAACTATCCTGAAACCAGTTGGTAACCAGCCTGAAACCAATTGGAAAAAAGTTGGCAACTAGCCTGAAACCAGTTGGTAACTAGCCTGAAACCAGTTGGAAACCAGTTGGTAACTAGCCTGAAACCAGTTGGAAACTAGCCTGAAACCAGTTGGTAACTAGCCTGAAACCAGTTGGTAACTAGCCTGAAACCAGTTGGTAACCAGCCTGAAACCAGTTGGGAACCAGTTGGTAACTAGCCTGAAACCAGTTGGGAACCAGCCTGAAACCAGTTGGTAACTAGCCTGAAACCAGTTGGTAACCAGTTGGCAACTAGCCTGAAACCAGTTGGAAACCAGTTGGCAACTAGCCTGAAACCAGTTGGGAACCAGCCTGAAACCAGTTGGTAACCAGTTGGTAACTAGCCTGAAACCAGTTGGTAACCAGCCTGAAACCAATTGGAAAAAAGTTGGCAACTAGCCTGAAACCAGTTGGTAACTAGCCTGACACCAGTTGGTAACCAGTTGGCAACTAGCCTGAAACCAGTTGGAAACCAGTTGGTAACTAGCCTGAAACCAGTTGAAAACCAGTTGGCAACTAGCCTGAAACCAGTTGGGAACCAGCCTGAAACCAGTTGGTAACTAGCCTGAAACCAGTTGGTAACCAGCCTGAAACCAGTTGGTAACCAGCCTGAAACCAGTTCGAAACCAGTTGGTAACTAGCCTGAAACCAGTTGGTAACCAGCCTGAAACCAGTTCGAAACCAGTTGGTAACTAGCCTGAAACCAGTTGGAAACCAGTTGGGAAGTTGGTAACTAGCCTGAAACCAGTTGGGAACTAGCCTGAAACCAGTTCGAAACCAGTTGGTAACTAGCCTGAAACCAGTTGGAAACCAGTTGGAAACCAGTTGGTAACCAGCCTGAAACCAGTTGGTAACTAGCCTGAAACCAGTTGGGAACCAGTTGATAACTAGCCTGAAACCAGTTGGGAACCAGTTGATAACCAGCCTGAAACCAGTTGGGAACCAGTTGGAAACCAGTTGGTAACCAGCCTGAAACCAGTTGGTAACTAGCCTGAAACCAGTTGGGAACCAGTTGATAACTAGCCTGAAACCAGTTGGTAACCAGCCTGAAACCAGTTGGGAACCAGTTGGTAACTAGCCTGAAACCAGTTGGGAACCAGCCTGAAACCAGTTGGTAACTAGCCTGAAACCAGTTGGTAACTAGCCTGAAACCAGTTGGGAACCAGTTGGTAACCAGCCTGAAACCAGTTGGGAACCAGTTGGTAACTAGCCTGAAACCAGTTGGGAACCAGTTGGTAATTAGCCTGAAACCAGTTGGTAACTAGCCTGAAACCAGTTGGGAACCAGTTGGTAACTAGCCTGAAACCAGTTGGGAACCAGCCTGAAACCAGTTGGTAACTAGCCTGAAACCAGTTGGAAACCAGTTGGTAACTAGCCTGAAACCAGTTGAAAACTAGCCTGAAACCAGTTGGTAACTAGCCTGAAACCAGTTGGTAACTAGCCTGAAACCAGTTGGTAACCAGCCTGAAACCAGTTGGGAACCCAGTTGGTAACTAGCCTGAAACCAGTTGGTAACCAGTTGGCAACTAGCCTGAAACCAGTTGGGAACCAGCCTGAAACCAGTTGGTAACCAGCCTGAAACCAATTGGAAAAAAGTTGGCAACTAGCCTGAAACCAGTTGGTAACTAGCCTGACACCAGTTGGTAACCAGTTGGCAACTAGCCTGAAACCAGTTGGTAACTAGCCTGAAACCAGTTGAAAACCAGTTGGCAACTAGCCTGAAACCAGTTGGGAACCAGCCTGAAACCAGTTGGTAACCAGCCTGAAACCAGTTGGTAACCAGCCTGAAACCAGTTCGAAACCAGTTGGTAACTAGCCTGAAACCAGTTGGAAACCAGTTGGGAACCAGTTGGTAACTAGCCTGAAACCAGTTGGTAACCAGCCTGAAACCAGTTGGTAACTAGCCTGAAACCAGTTGGGAACCAGTTGATAACTAGCCTGAAACCAATTGGTAACCAGCCTGAAACCAGTTGGGAACCAGTTGGAAACCAGTTGGTAACCAGCCTGAAACCAGTTGGAAAAGTTGATAACTAGCCTGAAACCAGTTGGTAACCAGCCTGAAACCAGTTGGGAACCAGTTGGTAACTAGCCTGAAACCAGTTGGGAACCAGCCTGAACCAGTTGGGAACCAGTTGGTAACTATCCTGAAACCAGTTGGGAACCAGTTGATAACTAGCCTGAAACCAGTTGGTAACCAGCCTGAAACCAGTTGGGAACCAGTTGGTAACTAGCCTGAAACCAGTTGGGAACCAGCCTGAAACCAGTTGGTAACTAGCCTGAAACCAGTTGGTAACTAGCCTGAAACCAGTTGGGAACCAGTTGGTAACCAGCCTGAAACCAGTTGGGAACCAGTTGGTAACTAGCCTGAAACCAGTTGGTAACTAGCCTGAAACCAGTTGGGAACCAGTTGGTAACTAGCCTGAAACCAGTTGGGAACCAGCCTGAAACCAGTTGGTAACTAGCCTGAAACCAGTTGGTAACTAGCCTGAAACCAGTTGGTAACTAGCCTGAAACCAGTTGGTAACTAGTTGGTAACTAGCCTGAAACCAGTTGGAAACCAGTTGGTAACTAGCCTGAAACCAGCCTGAAACCAGTTGGTAACTAGCCTGAAACCAGTTGGTAACTAGCCTGAAACCAGTTGGTAACTAGCCTGAAACTAGTTGGTAACCAGTTGGCAACTAGCCTGAAACCAGTTGGTAACCAGTTGGCAACTAGCCTGAAACCAGTTGGAAAAAAGTTGGCAACTAGCCTGAAACCAGTTGGTAACTAGCTTGAAACCAGTTGGTAACCAGCCTGAAACCAGTTGGTAACCAGTTGGTAACCAGTTGGTAACTAGCCTGAAACCAGTTGGCAACTAGCCTGAAACCAGTTGGCAACTAGCCTGAAACCAGTTGGAAACCAGTTGGTAACTAGCCTGAAACCAGTTGGTAACCAGTTGGTAACTAGCCTGAAACCAGTTGGCAACTAGCCTGAAACCAGTTGGAAACCAGTTGGCAACTAGCCTGAAACCAGTTGGAAACCAGTTGGTAACTAGCATGAAACCAGTTGGTAACCAGCCTGAAACCAATTGGTAACTAGTCTGAAACCAGTTGGAAACCAGTTGGTAACTAGCCTGAAACCAGTTGGAAACCAGTTGGTAACCAGTTGGCAACTAGCCTGAAACCAGTTGGAAACCAGTTGGCAAGTAGCCTGAAACCAGTTGGAAGCCAGTTGGCAACTAGCCTGAAACCAGTTGGTAACTAGCCTGACACCAGTTGGTAACCAGTTGGCAACTAGCCTGAAACCAGTTGGAAACCAGTTGGTAACTAGCCTGAAACCAGTTGAAAACCAGTTGGCAACTAGCCTGAAACCAGTTGGGAACCAGCCTGAAACCAGTTGGTAACTAGCCTGAAACCAGTTAGTAACGAGTTGGTAACCAGCCTGAAACCACTTAGTAACCAGTTGGTAACTATCCTCAAAGCAGTTGGAAACCAGTTGGGAACCAGTTGGTAATTAGCCTGAAACCAGTTGGTAACCAGCCTGAACCAGTTGGGAACCAGTTGGTAACTAGCCTGAAACCAGTTGGGAACCAGCCTGAAACTAGTTGGTAACTAGCCTGAAACCAGTTGGTAACTAGCCTGAAACCAGTTGGTAACTAGTTGGTAACTAGCCTGAAACCAGTTGGGAACCAGCCTGAAACCAGTTGGTAACTAGCCTGAAACCAGTTGGTAACCAGTTGGCAACTAGCCTGAAACCAGTTGGAAAAAAGTTGGCAACTAGCCTGAAACCAGTTGGTAACTAGCTTGAAACCAGTTGGTAACCAGCCTGAAACCAGTTGGTAACCAGTTGGTAACTAGCCTGAAACCAGTTGGCAACTAGCCTGAAACCAGTTGGAAACCAGTTGGTAACTAGCCTGAAATCAGTTGGTAACCAGCCTGAAACCAGTTGGTAACCAGTTGGTAACTAGCCTGAAACCAGTTGGCAACTAGCCTGAAACCAGTTGGAAACCAGATGGCAACTAGCCTGAAACCAGTTGGAAACCAGTTGGTAACTAGCATGAAACCAGTTGGTAACCAGCCTGAAACCAATTGGTAACTAGTCTGAAACCCAGTTGGAAACTAGCCTGAAACCAGTTGGAAACCAGTTGGTAACCAGTTGCAACTAGCCTGAAACCAGTTAGAAACCAGTTGGCAAGT